AAGACGCTATAATAAGTCCGGTGTATAAGGCTGGGAGGAGGGATTTAGTTAGTAACTATAGACCCGTTAGCTTAACTAGTGCAGTTGTAAAACAGATAGAAAAAATCATTCGGATATCTGTTATAAACTATGTTGAAGGACATAATCTTTTCTCCAGGGAACAACATGGTTTTCGGAGAGGCCTATCATGCTTGACAAATCTTCTCATCGCAAGAGAAGATTGAGCTGATGCAAAAGATTAGAATATTCCTGTCGATGTGATTTTCATAGATCTAAGTTAGGCCATCGATAAGGTTTCCCACTCTGGTTTAAAATTCAAACTGCAACGTTCTGGAATCCATTGTACAGTCGTAGATTGGATAAGCAACTATCCTGACGACAGGAGACAAAGGGTGATGGTAAATAGGGCTCCTTCCTCATGGGTACCTGTAAAAAGTGGAGTTCTCAAAGGTACAATCCTCGGTCCTCCTCTCTTTTTTTACGTTATGTAAATGAATTGCCGACTGTAGTAAAATCATCCGTTCTACTCTTCGTTGATGACATAAAGATTCGGAGACCCATGCACAGTATATCGGATAAAACAGTATTACAGGTTGATCTTAGCTCATTTGTGGCATGATTGGACAGATGATCACTAGAATTAAATCCTAACAAGAGTGTAGTGATGCAAATAAATAACTATGATGTACTGTATCACCATACAATATGTGGATTCGTGCTACCCAAAGTATGAAACTATACAGATTTAGGAGTCATATTAAACAGTGATCTCAAGACCACTAGTCACTGTAAAGCTGCTACTGCAAAAGCCTACAGGGTATCATGGTCTATTCGTAGGAATTTCAAGTATTTAGATGATGGAATGTTTAGATTATTATACCCGATTTATGCGCGATCACATTTAGCATATAGGGTTCAAGCAGCGAGTCCTTGTTTCAAGTATGAAGCAGAGATGCTGGAAAGAGTCCTACAATGAGGTACTAAGATGGTACAATGTCCATCTGACTTATCTTATGAAGACAGACTGAGACACCTTAACTTATTTCCGTTATCTTACCGTAGAGTACGAAGTGATCTAATATTAGCTTATCGTATACTGAAAGATGACCTTTGTGTTAACATGTCTTATCTTTTGCTTCCGTCTAAGACTGATAAATTGAGAGGACATCCGAAGAGTGTTCAAAAAACGAGATCAAATTGTTTACGTCTGGAGTTTCGTTTCTCACACGGAGTAGTGAATTACTGGAATTCTCTACCGGAACACGTAATATCAATACCTCTTAATATATTCAAAACGAGATTGAACCTCCACAATATCACAAACTGCAAGAATTAATATACGTCGATAGATCTCCTACCCTTATTGCTGAAGACTGACATGGATCAAAATCCTTTGTAATGACGCATGTGCATTCACTCTTTTCTCCTAACAGGTCCTAACTTACTTAATTCCTAAAAATGGGTTTCAGTAGTTCGTGTTGTTAATCGTTTATTTGATAACACGTCTTTTCAGTTACCGTGAGTACTGGTACTGCCTCTATTGTTCAGGGATTTGCCCTGACGATTTTATCTATCTGTATTAATGAGGAGAGGCAACTTCAACCAATGTACGACGCTGCATATATGTAAATAGCCATTACTGAAAACGTTGATAGTGTTGCAATATAAGCACTGCTATATACAATGCAGCACGCCACTATTTTGACTGAGAATGCCTCTTTTAACTTCTTCGTCCGTGGGTTAATTGTAATGAAAACACACAAGTTCTGAGTTTTTTTGTACGGTTTTCTTTTCTTGTTTACTTTGTAATGACCTATTTTTATTAAGAGAATGCGATTGGTGTCATGGAAACAATTATTATATTGTAGATCACCAACGTAGATGATCTATGTCGAAATGATTGGAGGCCTACTCCAGTTAGACGTGAATGGTGTGACGAACCAACTAACGTCGAAGTCACACCTCGTGGTCAGCACCTTACGTGGACTACCCCCATTGACGTAACAAGGTACTATAGATGCTTTGAAGACTGTACAACACAAAGGACGTTATTACAGAAATATATTAGTTAAGGTAGATACAGGCGAAAGTAAGACCACTGCCGCATGGGCCAGTCCATGGCGTATGATTAACTAATGCGCGTTTCTTGTACATGACCTTGGCAGGGAGCGATGATCTGTTCGACATTCAGTGATCCAACTGCCGGATGATTTGGCTAGGGCTCAGTGACATTTCACTGGCCCTACAATACTCCCCCACCAGATTCAGCGGCCGTTTGAATCGGTACCAAACATGTTGGGAGCAGTCGCGCGCCGGAGAGTGCCAGACGAATATTATAAATCCTCCAGGTATTGCTTATCTGTAAAACAAATGGAAAGGAGGCGGCAGAAACTGGTCGCGAAACAGCGAGTCATAATATGTTAGTAGGACGTTGCTTAAACGTAAATTGATTAACCATAGAAATAATGAAAAGAACAAAACGTTTTATTGTTCTATCAAGTCGCGCTGAAATATATAGCCTTGACAAGTAATTCAGTTCCTCCGATGACAAACGTTAAGTCTGCCGCAAGAGTAATGATCCTATAGCGACAGTAGGATAAGTGTATTATCAATCGATATCCATATTTGTACTGTCATTAGTTTGAAGTTGTAAGTCGAACAGTGTCGTTGACAGCTATTAATTAGTGTCAAATTCTAGTTATATCTATATCTAACAGACTAACCGTAAGTACAGAAGTATAACAGTGAAGAGTGGTCGTGATTTCGTTGTGCGAAGCTATTGACCAACTTGTAGTCACAGTTTGAAAAGTCGATGACTGCTGTTACAGTCAGTAAGGGTTGAAGGCTACAGATCAAGAGCGAAGACGGCACGATGAAGTCTCTAAAAGATGATAAACGGTGAGTGCTGCGTTTTTGTTCGGTTAGTGGACAGAAAAATATCGAAAAGAACATAAGAAACTAAGAGTGTCGCTCTGGACTCTTGTCAATGATACCAGTGAAAAACGTTTTCAGTGTTGAAGTAGAGGCGACAATGTCGTTTTCAGTTTGCAGGAGATTCGCTCGACTGCATGAACTGATGATTCGCGCGAATGATAATGTCGTCAGACCACCAGTTGACCTGGACAGGTTGTAAATCGTCGAGTAGTTGAACAGCCTATTGATGTACCGGAATCATCTGTTAATTAACAGCCACGAGGAAACAATACTTCATAAAATGAAGTACGACATCGAAGTAGAACAACTACAATAGTTCAGATGTGTTACAATGTCAAGTCTAAATAACATCGTTCTTACGTATACTGACAGTTGCACTGAACGTTCGTTTAGGTATGATTAGCGTAACAGTTGGATGTGTGAATAAAAACATATACGAAAACTATGGTTGGGTTCGTGGGGAATTTTCGAGGACGTTTAGATATTTTCCAAACCCGTATGGCATGTAAATAAACCGAAAATAGAATTAAAATGACTGTCGTGTAATAAGGAAGTCGAGCCATGATTTACCGTGTGAATTAATAGCAAATACAAGGGGTATAATAAACATTAATTAAAATGGTAACCACCAATGTAACTAAGGTTTTGAGGATTCAGGTAACGTGGCCATTTCGTAAAAGGCTGATACAAAGAGCTTATTACCTAGCGTGAAGTGACATATTAAGTACGACAACGTGTGTACTTGGGACATGGACTAAGCGTGCTCGTGTACATGCAATATGTTTTACCACAGTATGTCGACTAACGAGTCATAAATGTACATGATTTCGACTAAAACTTGACGGCAGTGACAGAGTATATGACTAGTTTACGTGAAAGCAACTACGAAATGTTATCACGCATCATAAATATAGTACGAAATAATCTAATGAAATTATGAAACTCGCCTGGGTTACTCTTGCCTTTAAGTAATGAAGTAGGCAGTAGTTTGAATCTGGATTATGTACGAGGTACTGTTGATTAAATTTTTCGATTAACACAGCGTTGTAGACTGACGAACAGTCTAAATGAGATCTAAGATCGCAGGAAATTTATAGTTCAAACTCACCGTAAATTTCTAGCATTCGTATCCTCTGTTTGGCCATGGAACTCAGCAATTGGAAATTAGGCAGGCAGTGGTAAAAAAAGGCAAAACATTCTAGTGGATAGTGGTTAAGCAGAAAGATGAATTTATAGTCGATAGTTAATCTTGTCTTATTTATACCAGTGAATAAGTTACAAACAGATGTGCGTTCGTGTTGCCTTGTGGCTATAATCACGAGTGGTTGATATTTTAACAGACATATTACACAGGAGCATTTACATGCTGCTAATGCTTGTTAAAGAACCACGATAGTCCATTATAATCGTAGTTGATTGGTTAGTTCTGTCGATTGAACTAAGTATTTAAGTTTAAATACTAATCAACATTGACATGAAGCAACGAAAGTTCACAGTGATAGATTAACATAGGCGATGATACAAATGAAAAAGAATAAGTATAGAATACAATAATAAAGATTATAGTGATAGGTTGCGTTACTCGAAGTCTTGCTCACCAGTGTAGATCACCAACGTAGATGATCTATGTCGAAATGATTGGAGGCCTACTCCAGTTAGACGTGAATGGTGTGACGAACCAACTAACGTCGAAGTCACACCTCGTGGTCAGCACCTTACGTGGACTACCCCCATTGACGTAACAAGGTACTATAGATGCTTTGAAGACTGTACAACACAAAGGACGTTATTACAGAAATATATTAGTTAAGGTAGATACAGGCGAAAGTAAGACCACTGCCGCATGGGCCAGTCCATGGCGTATGATTAACTAATGCGCGTTTCTTGTACATGACCTTGGCAGGGAGCGATGATCTGTTCGACATTCAGTGATCCAACTGCCGGATGATTTGGCTAGGGCTCAGTGACATTTCACTGGCCCTACAATATCCACTTGTACCAGGAATCGTTTTTCCATAGTTGTTTGTTTAACTGTACCAAAACACATACACTTTTCTGTCGGTTGTGACCTTGCGCAAATTCGGTTAGGCTCAGTAGCTACTGCTTTGGTACGATCTCGGTATTCTTTCGATACCACGAGATCGCCAACAAATACATCACGACTACAGCCATCAACTGCCTTCTGATATTTGGCTTACGGGGGGTCTTATCGGTTAACTGGCACGTAGTCTTCCTGTAGTGGTGACCATAGTCAACCGCGACTCGACGCCACACAACAACTTATTTCAGGGAGATTTTCAATTTCATCTTAGAGTATGGGGGGAAAAAAGCACAGAAATTTTCGAAGGCCAAAATACGAAATCATGCGGTAAGATATTTTTACAGTCTGTTCATTCGTTCTTGCAGACATTCAAGACATGAATTCAATTTCTCCGTTGTTATATGGTTACCTCTTTTACCACTTTTGATTATTTGTATCGGAGATTACTTCAGAAAGAAGACATCATCGAAAAAAGATGTGTGCTGGGAAAGCCTGAATAATAACGTATCAGTTTCAAGAGAGGCAGTGGATTGGGTCTCAGCTGAGATTTCTCATCTTCGTAGATTATTTGACCTCATGTGAGTGAAAATATCACTTTTTTATATTATACTAATCAAATTTGGATTTGTTTAAGAACATCTGGTATTTTGAATGCCGTTTAAAAAACTCATTCACGATGGAGTGAGTAAAAAAGTGTTCTTCGTTATCAACTGGATAAAGTTGTTGCGCAAAATAAGTTTAATTTTGGGTATTTCGTCTTCCAGTATGTAGTTTGTTTAGAGAAGAGTAGCTAATAAAGTATTTACTTACATCTTTACTCTATAATTCATCATTTGATATTTATTAGTTAATCATCCAAGCCTGTGTCAATAATGTATCATCATGGTACCTGTTAGTTTAATTAACTATTCTTTTCGGGATATCCAGTAAAATTATCTTTACTGGGAATGTTTTTGAGCTTTGTGTGGATGTGTCAAGGTGTTGATGCCTAAACTGTCGGACGTTGTACATATATTAGAAATTGCCAAGACAATCCATCATCAATAAATCTATATTAATTATTAACCACTACTTCCAATGTAACTAATCTGATTTTGTAATTGAATTCCTGCTTTCGAGGCTGCTTGGTTGTTTAAAAAAAGAAAATCATAGTTTGATTGATAACAAAAAGAAAGTATTGAACGATGTATTCATAGTACTAACGGACATTAATAATGAGTACACTTCCGGTTATTTAATTTCTTACTTAAGTATTGTTAGTTACCCGTACTATTCTATTGAACGATGTAGTTCAGGAAAATAAACATCAAAAAACAACTAACATCACCATAACAACATTTACACAAAATCCAGCTTTTATTAGATAATACTAAGGAACTTTTAACTTTTCTGTTTCAGTGAAAGTACCTCAATCAGAACAAAGAAGAAGGATCAGATAACAAGTAGGTTTTATTGTTCGTTATTCAATAATAGTTGTAGTAATAAGAATGATAGTGACTTTATTCATTACTGTGTTCAGTAGAATATTGGATTTTTATGATACACTATCTCCACAAGTTCCTCTTACTCTCCTAAAGATGCGAAATTTATCTGCATACGTGTATCAGTGAAATAGGTACAGCAATTATCTCTGCGTTGATCTCTTGTTACTGAGCGCCTTCTAGTTCTTTTTTTAAACAATGCTTTAAAGTAAATCATTTTAAGTTGAAACAAGTAAATTTTCGAATGATTTATAGTTTTTAGTTTAAATGTTTGAGAAATAGGCAGTGAAATACTGAGATTTGAACATTTCTAATCCGGATTATACATTGTCTAATAAAATATGTAATTTTTATTCATCTCATATGATGGTAAATATATTGTGTCATGTTAAACATACTTGTAAATTTACACACTTCGATCAGATGGATGACAAAATGGCATGAAAGATAATGAAAACATCTTAACACATTTTATTGTAATGAAATCCAAGATATCAATCAGTTAGGTGATTCACTCATTCAATCTACGTAAACGAATGAAAGTACTTCCACTGTGTTTGGAAGAATAGGTAAATATTTAACCGCAAATCTCAGTCTTTTTTGATTAGTCGAATACAGGTAATTGGTGAGTTATTCACTGTCCTTTACATCAATTTCAAACATTTGTCACAGATGATACCTCCGCTTATTTTCATTTGAGTATAAATTTAGTTGGTTCAGTGGTGAATATCAATCTTGTGAGTTGATAGAGATTTGTGGTAGATACAACAAGAGCCACTGAACTTCGGATGTATTTTTTTCACCACACGGTATCATGATCTGTGTGAGTATTTTCTGAATGAACTCTCTCACTAATTAACGTATAATATTCTGCTTATTAGTGTTTACATATTCTTATAACCTCAGCGTTTTTATTAAAAAGTGAAAGTAATTGCCTCCTACTTATGACAACAATGCTGTTAAATTACTTGCGATGCTTCATTAGATTACGAGTTCGCCGAACCTGCTAACCTGTATCACTAACTAGAAAGAGGAGTCCAGGTTCAGAAGAGGGAAAAATGTTTTCCACAAGCACAAACAACAAGTACAGCTCAAGTGAATATATACCGCATAAAGATGTCTTTGAGAAACGTTACAAAATAGCATGTTCAAAGAGACAACGAGCCAATAAAACTTAAGATTCTCCCAGATAGGAAATACGATATGAATGTGTAAATGGACGCTTTGGCGCGACAACAATAGATTCAAATTTTCAAAATAAAATCACAAAAACAAGACATTTACTGGATCAGTTCTGGATATCTAGCCTCATCAACATTACTAGATATTGTCAAGTATGTTTTGGTTTGGAGCACAATTCGATTCCTTAACTAAGCAAAAGACATACGGATGGGAGAGATGATCAGGTAAACAGATGGAAAATAAGTTCAAATTTATTCATGAGATCAAAGATATCATCTCCATGCACTTTTATGTACAGAATGAAGTTAGATTGCAAATGAGTTAAAGTTTATTAACTAAGGGAGACGAATGTCAAAATAAATTATACCATAATGTCAAATCTATCCAGGCGTCTAGCCATGTAATTAAAGTTCAAGTTGAAAATAAAGACTTATCCAAAAATGATTCTATCATTAAAAAATATATAAATTGGTTACAAATCTCAACTTATGAGGCTTTTGTATCGATCAAAGCATCTATATGTACGGAAAGGAAACAAACTTTCAGAAATGTTTGACTAATTTCTTACTTACCTGCTTACTTATGCCAGTTACTCGTAGTGCAGCATAGGCCATCAAGCAGCATTCTCCAACCCACTCTGGGCCTTCCTTTTTAGTTCTTTGCAATAGTCGTTCATTCTTCTCTATTTCCCAGCGTGATGTGTTGTTTGGTTTTCCTTTCCTCCTTTGGCCTTGAGGATTCCAAGTAAGTGCTTGCATTTTCACGCATTTGGATGCTTTGCTTAATGTGTGTACTATCTACTTCCAGTAATTCTTTCTGATTTACTCCTCAGCTGGAATTTAGCTTGTTCTCTCCCACAGTAGGTTGTTGCTGATAGTGTCTGGCCAACGAGTTCAAAGTATTTTGCTCAGACAGCTGTTAATAAAGACTTGTATCTTCTGGATGATGGCCTTCGTAGTTCTCCAGGTTTCCACTCCATATAGCAGAACTGTCTTCACATTCCTATTGATAATTCTGAAGTCGATTTTGGTTGAAAATTGTTTTGAGATCGGGATGTTCTTCAATTTTAGATATGCTTTTCTTGCTTTGCTGATCCGTGCCTTCACATCTGCATAAGATCTACCGTGTTCATCAATGATGCTGCCCAGATCTGCAAAGGTTTCTACATCCTTGAAAACTTCGCCGTCAAGTGATTTGATTGGTGCGTGTTGTTTTGTATCAGAGAGTCTTGTTTTTTCTTCGTGTATGTTGAGACCTATTGCTGCTGGCACTGCTGCTACACTGGTCAGGTCATCTGCGAAGTCCAAGTCGTCCAGCCGCATCCCATCTGTGCACTGTATCTGGTACTTCCTCCCAAATGTTGACGTTTTCATAATCCAGAAGAAAGAGGAAGGGTTTTTGAGTAAGCAACCTTGCCTGACACCGGTTTTTAACTCGAACGAGTCTGTGAGCTACCCTCCATGCACGATTTAGCAGTTTAATCCATCAAAATAATTCCATGTGATGTTAAATATCTTCTCGGGCACGCCGTAGTGTCGAAGACGCCTTCGTAGTGTTTCCCAGTCCACTCTATCATATGCTTTCTCGTAGTCGATGAAGTTGATGTAGAGTGATGAAATAAATTCAGTTGATTGTTCCACGATGATCCTTAATGTTGCGATTAGGCCGGTGCATGACCGATTCTTACGGACATTAGCCTGTTGGTCTAGATTTTGGGCGTCTACAGGGTCCTTCATTCTGTTGATGACTTTTGCTGGTATTGAGAGAAGAGCGATGCCTCTGTAGTTCTCGCGCTTGCTTGTTCTTCATTCCAAATCTCGCTGAGGAGAATGTGGAGTATCTTTGCAGTTACTGCTACCTCTGCTTTCAGTGCCTCTGCTGGAATGTTGGCTGGTCCTGCTGCTTTGCCGCTCTTGATTTGTCTGATGGTTATGCTGATCTCATTAAGTGATGATGGGTCAATATTGATTGGGAGGTCTGTGGGCGCTACTTCCGTGTTGGGTTGGTTCAGTGGGGCTGGTGGATTCAAGAGTTCTTTGAATTGTTCTGCCCACCTGTCTCGTTGTTCTTCAGTGTTGGTGATTACCTTGCCTTCCTTGCTTTTCACTGGTTGTTCTGGCTTACGATAATTTCCATCGAGCTTCTTTGTTGCGTCATGCAATTGTCCCGTGTTTCTTTCTCTTGTGGCCTTTGCGACATTATTGTTTGATCTTCCACACATGATGCTCCTATTCACTTCCTTGTTTACTTTTGTATATTCAGCTTGTGTCTTGGATTTCTCTACTCTTGTATGGCTGTTATTAATTGCTGCTTTCCTTCTGCTCCTCCTTTCTTGAATCTTATCCAGTGTATTAACAGTGATCCATTCCTTGTGATAGTGCTTCTTGTGACGCGGAACCTCATGGCATGTTGAAGTGGTTGCCTCCTTGATCCCCTTCCAATTGTTCTTCATGTTAGTTCTCTCCACTGAGTAGATTGCGAAAGGCCTGGATAGCATCAGTTCAACGCCTTGTGTAGGTGGAACATTCTCTTTTTCATGGACGGAGTATAACAGCAGGTTCCTTGAAGCTAGTCTCTGTTGTCCAACCTACATACAGCATGTTTCACTAGTTCCAAACACATCCACGTTGTATCTTTTCATTTCAGTAGCAACTTGGATGACCCCCAGAATTCCATGTACCTAAATTAATAATTGGTCTGGTTGTCAGACGGGGCAAAAGAATCTCGGCTTTCACCATGAGGCATCATAACTCTTCTAAATGAAGACCTAACTTTCAGGGCAGAGTTTGAATGATTTGAATTATGTTTTCTGGTTAGTGTTTTTCAGTGGGTTAGTTTTTTACGGGATGTGGTCGCTAACCCCATGCCCAACCCTCCTCCTTTATCCGGGCTTGGGACCGGCAGTAGCTCGCGGAGGGACTCCAGGCGGAGTCCGCCTAATAACTGGTACCAAGTGAAGGTTATCCGAGACCTATTGTCTCATATCTGATTGGTTCGTCCATAAATTATAGTCTCACCGAAATGTTCAGTTTGTATTGTGTAATAATAATGATAATAAAGTGAAATATTTAACTTTAATGTTTTTATTCTAGATGTAGATCGAATAGGTATTTCTCATGAAACACTTAGACGTCGTGTTTTGAATTACGTTCATGAAGCACGATACACTTTGAACAATTTACGCAACATTTTTACCCAATTAAAAAAAGTTAATCAAAAGGAATTGGACACTGAAACAGTTTCATCGATACAAGCATCGTTAGTTCGTTATCGACAGAATATGGAGGAAACTATTTCACACTTGCAACTTATTCTTAACAAACTAGGTGAATTAGATGAATTTTCACAAATCAGAAAGAATGGCTTAAATAAGCTTTCACAGCGATTACAGGAGAAGATTCAAAAACAACAGGTTAGAATTTATTACTTTTTTATTACTTTGGAATAAGTCAAGTTCTTAAACTTGTAAAAAGAAGTGGTTGATTGATCGAATTAATTTCTACAAAAGTACGGCATAAAATAAGACCTTTGAAAGGACGTTCCATTTGTCCTGAAATACTTATCGGAAACTTTTTGCATAGAATGAACAGTGAATATACAATTGACTTGTTCTTTACTAGGTTCCAGTCTAACAGCTCATTCACCAAAAGTCAACGCAACTGAAATCGAGATCATGTCATTCACCTGAATAACACATATTTTATTGGACTATCCGTAAATACAAAGGGTAGGAAAATATATATGAAAAATATAATATCTATCTCACTGATTGGAATCATGAGTCAATTGAAGCTAGACCACCATGGAAAACCTGGAATTACTGGACGGCCGTTTCGTCCTAGAATGGGACTCCTCAGCAGTGCGCATCAACGATCCCGCACCACGCGAGACTCGAATCCAGGACCTATCAGTCTCGCTCTAGTCGCTTAACGAACTAGACCACTGAGTCGGCCGGCATCCAATAGTGTTAATGTCTAACTTTAACCAATCCACGAAATCCAGCTTCAAGTGACTCATGATTTCAATCAAAAACTTAATAATCTCCACAACACCTAAACTAATATTTGCCTTGTTGACTCATTTTTTTCTATCCTCTAGCTACTGTTCGGTATGTTATTTATGTCTCTGTTTTTCCCTGTGTTGTTACTCTGTGTTGTTTATTTTGTATACTAACAGTGTTAATTTATGTTTTAAGAAACAGATAAAGTTTATCAAGCCAAATAGCTTCCTTGTTCTGACTTTGGCTAAACCAAGAATTTATGCTCCACATTCTAGAGAATAGCTTAGAGTTACACTTGTAGGAAATTGCTTCCTACACTGACTATCTATGATTCTGTCTAAACCAATAAACAATTATTGTGCACTGTAATCTATGTGACCATTTATCGATTGAAAAGTGAAACATAAATTCGAATTCATTTGGTTGTCCCCATCTGTATTCTCGGTCACTACACTGTCACCTATACGACAATCTGTCAATTGAAAACTGAGACACAAGTATCAGTATGATACGATATAAAGTAAATAATTCAATCATCACCACCATATATATCTGCATATCAATAATATCGATTCTTATTTAGTCGAGATTATCTAAACCTGGATTAAATAGTTCCCTATAGTTATGTTGTTAGTCGATCAAGTCACATTGAAATAGGTTTCAAGTGATATTCAGATTTTATCAAGTCAGACAACAACCACAAGATCAGAATGTATTCGTTAAATATAATCCGAAATGTATCAAATGTAAAATTAATGACGAACGTTATCAGCCTTTAAATCATTCTCATGTTTGTATCTATGAAATTGTTGTTAATCAATTTTACAATGTATTTGATTCTTATTAATAAATCAAAAATTTGGATTTTACCTTTTTGATCATATACATATAGAATCCATCAGATTGTAAAAAGGCCAAATATATGACATTTGACTTCACTAATTTATGTGGATTGGGTTGTAACATGCATCAACTTATGTACTGCTTACAATTGGCTCTTGAAAATGAACGTGTTTTAGTATTGAAGAAACATTATCATGGAGATATATTTCGAGAATGGCTTCATCAGAGCATGTTACCACTTTCTGACAAATGCAGTTATTTGGACTCAGATGGTAGATTAGGTGTGTAAACGATGTATTTATCATTAGTTTGTTGTAAATGTCAGACCCCAGTGATTGTCTTGAACAGTTTAGTTGAATATTTTTTATTACTTTTCGACAAAACAACACAATACAATAAATCACTGACTAGAACCCATGAAATGACATAAAGTTGTTTACTATCTACGTGAAAGAACGAGTAAACAACCCTTATTATTAGTAATATTTCATGTCCCATTGTTCCTACTAATATGGATAGAACCTTACTCAATCGCCTTTTACAACTGAGTAAGGTTCCGTCTCACAAATCAGCTAATATGGTTAGTTGGTAGGCAGTCGA